TATTTGCTTTTTTGCATTCATTATTTAGGAAGATATGTAGAATTTAGTTTTCACTTTGACATTACAGTCTTTTGTGTATATCAACAGCAAAAAAATCCCACATTATGATTCCATATTGTAACAATAAAATGTGAAAAAGTCCAAGGGCTGATAAGGCACCCTTACTGCATATCCATACATATCTCTTCCATTTATTGCTAATTTTGTCTTTTCCAGGCTTTATTATAGTGATGTAGTGCTTGCTGGTGAACTCAAACATGCAGTTATGTTAAAAATTCAGCTGCACAGATTTTATCCAAAACCAGAATTGAAGAGCACATGACCACTGTTTTAACTTTCTTGCCCTGAAAGGGTTTCAGAAAAGAATTCAACATACAATTCAATAATTTTTAAAGGCTTGAATATCTTGGATCCTAACTATATCTGTAAACTACTAACCTACTATACACATCACTTAGGAGTCTTTAGATTCTAGACATCTTTTAGTTCCCAAAACAAGGCTCCAAATACTGTGACACTGTGCTTTCTGTTCTGTTGTTCCAAGACTGTGGAACGATCTCCCAGATTTGATCAGATCTAGCAAATAAATGAGCACTTTCAAACCTTAAAATGTATTTCCATATTAAGCTATTATTTTTTTAATGTAAAATTTCATATACTATACTTGTCTTTGGTTTACTGTACAATTCTTGGAGATGTACGCTGAAAAGCACTGTATAAAATAATGATTATAAACTGACTGCATTTTTCAGGTTTGGGCACGGGCTTCCACTTTTATTCAAAACCAGTCTGCCAAAAACTCCATAAAGTGAGATTATTATACTCGGGATTCAATGCAGAAGCCCATCAACACACCGGAAAATGCATTGATTAACTTTTTTGTTGTGTTCAAAATTCAACACACTGGCAGATTCGAAGCAATGGTGTATACACATGTAATGGCTGTGATGACTCAACACCTTATCAAGTGACTTCACATCATGATAGTGTTTTCTACTTTTTTGTCCACTACATTTCCTTAAGAGCAATTTTGCACTCAACTTCATGTTGTAATAGAAATATTGGTCAGGTAATTCATATTTTTTCAAATATTTAACATATAAATGCATATAAAACATATTCATTGCTTCAATAATTTGGTTTATAACTTCATAAATCCACATTTATAACATCTTAAGAATATACAATTTGCAATACCTACAGGCAGGGCTACATAGCCTTTAAAAAGTACTGTAAAAGTTATTTAAACTGAAAAAATAAAAATCGCTAGAGTTGGTTAAAATTCAAACTAAATGTTATTGGATTTTGAGTTGACATTAAAAAAACTCTGAAGACTAAACTGTAGATCAGAGAAAACGGTTGTCATGGACAAACTGTTCAACACACATTCTCAAGCTTTTTTGTTTTTAACGGGTCAAAAAAACAGACTCTGATTGCCTGTTTCAAAAGTCATCATATACGCACATGACATTATCACATGTTATTCCCTACACGCTAGCTTAATTTAACAATAAACAACAGCAGCAGCAAAGAGCGAGCAAGTATGGTACATAACCACAAATCACTGGCTTGTAACCAAGAGCAGGGAACACAAAAAGACATACAGGACCTGCAAACTGAACATTGGTGCTCAAGCCAACAAATACATTTTCATCGACAAGGATGTTTCTGATGGAGCATGTACAGTGCCTTGCAAAAGTATTCACACCCATCAAACTATGTCAAATTTTAATTAATACAATGATTAATACACTTCAAAAGAATAGTTTTAGATCAAAACTTGAATGCCCAAAATGAACTGTATGGGGGTAGAATAAGTTATCAATTAAGGAAATAATAAGAATTAGGTGTTAAAATTAGGCAGATCTCTGCGGGGTTGAGTTTATTAAGGCCCCAACTATGTAAAGATCACGGTGAATTTGGTTTACTAAGTACCAAGTAGGTGTATGGAAACCACTTATGTCATAATCTAAGGAAATGTCAGAGGACGTCAGAAAATGAAGCTCATCAGTTCAGAAATGGTTATAATGATGACTGACATTCTACAAACAGAGAACGCTCATGACCTCAAATTATTCTACCCAGAAGTGGTCTTACCAAAATCTCTCCAAGAACAAACCAGAAATTCATCAAGGAAGCTATAAAGAGTCACAGAATAACATTAATGGAGCTGTAACCCTTGGTTAATGCAATTGTTCACAACGAAAATTACTGAACAAGAATGGTGCTCATGGAAGCATAGCAAGGAGAACAACACTGCTCTCAAAAAAAGAACGTTGCCGCCTGTCTGAAATTTGCAAAATAGCAAGACGATGACCCACAAGACGTCTTAAACAACGTTCTCTGGAAAGATGAGTCAAAGTTAGAACTCTGTGACCTCAAACAGAAACATTTTCCATCAATTCATTTTAGGACCACTTCCAATTCAGGGTCACAGGGGATATGGAGCCTATCTCAGAAACAAAGGGCACAAGGCAGCGTACATCCGGATAGGATGCCAGTCCATCGGAGGGCAGACACAGCCACACATTCACCCCAAGGGTCTATTTTCTAACTTACCATATTTTTTAACTGTAGGAGAAAACCCATAAGAACACAGGGAGAACATACAAATTCCACAAAGATAGCACCCCAGGTCCAGAATTGAAACTGGGGCCTCAGTGCTGAAAGGCAGCAATGTTAATCACTGTGCCACCATTCTTTGTCATACGTGGATATAAAATTTGTATCGCTGAGGATAAATAAATGTTGAAAGATCATCATGTTTAGGTAATTTGTTTCATCAAGTTGACTATCATTAGGACATAGATTAAAAATCTTATAACAGGTTTAAAAAATGTGAAATATGTAAAAAGCCTAAGGGGTTCAGAAACTTTGTCATAGAACTATACATACTCCTCCCTATAAACTCAATATTTATTAGGGTAATTTCAGTCTCTGAAATTGCAATACAAGCCTGCTTCTCAGAGAGTTTGTGCCCTAATGTGGTTCCAGTTGGTGCTTCCAGGTGGGTCTGTCACATGGATTAAAATTATTTTTCATTGCAAGAAACTCCTGAATCTCGCTTATCTTTAATCTACTTGTCATGATTAGGCAAAACACGGACAACCATGTTTTATACCTCTATGATGTTTAGTTTCAGAGAACAGTTTTCAAAATTACTCATTTTTAAAAACAAATTCTATATGGCAGCCAAACTACACGACCTGCCAAAACACTTTCAATTTGATGACAGGACCGAAGATGGTGGTGCGCATGGATGCAGCAGCTAATCTGGGTGTGGTAAAAACGGAGATAAATGTTGTTCCCGTGTTAAATATCCCCTCTAGTCGTAATTTACCAAGAGTCTACGATCATCTGAACCAATTTCTTAATTATTCAACTGGATTTCACAGGAACTGGAAAATAACAACTAAAAAATCTAAACAGCAATTTTGTTGACCTTTAATAAAAATGCCTTTCTTCAAATGTATTCTCCAGCATTGTGAATCCTGTTCCATTAAAAAAAGTGCAATGAGCAAAACAGTAGCAATTAATTGTAAAAACAAGTAGCAAATAAAGTTTAAATTTTAATACTAAGGGATATAGCTTTGGATCAAAACAAAATTTTGACCCAGCTAGAGTCTGATATGGCAAAAATAGAACAGGACAGCAGCTTTTAGTTTACTAGCTTGGAAGACTTCCCTCAAGCACTACAACTCATATCCTACACGGGGAAAAACAATACTAACACTTATGTATACAGCAAGAGCAGGAAGAAAAAGCAGTGTATACCTTGCAAAGAGATTTGTGATAATAGCCATCTTACGAAGACCTTTGGCTAGCGGTTGCCCTGGGAAACTGTCACATTCTCACGAGGGCTCACTGTTTTCCAGGGTATGCTGCTCTGACCAGATCCCATTTTCATGATCCGTATTAATTAGTAGTTTCCTACTTATTTAATGCCTGGTTTTCTATTTAAAGCCGAGGCGCCGCTTTAATGAACACCGTCATTTTTTCATTTCACCCTGGGTTTTCCTCACTGGCAGTACTGCTTTCACTCTCCACATTTCTCCGCTGAGCATTAGTACACTTCACTCTGTACAAAAGTTGCAGCCTCAAGCCTGCCCTGCAAACCTGCTCTTCCCCTTTTTTCAGGAGGCTTGATATTCAGTTTCTCCTGTACCCGAGGCTCCCTTTTTTTTCTGACCCACGGGCTGAGCGGCAGTTTTCTACGTCAAGCCTGCAGTCCTCTCTGCACAGCAGTTGTCAGCCTGAAGCCTACCCTGCAAACCTACTTGGTCCCCATTGGCTCCCCGTCTCCCACCGGCGGACCGTGTTTAGCAGCAGTCTCAGTGGCATCAGGCCAGCGCCGTGCTGTGAGCACCAGCGTCAGCTCCTTGCCTGATCTCTGCATCACCCAACGCAGAAGCTTCAGATTCAAACCCACACTCCATTCCACACTTATTCCTTTCACTAGTCACCATGTCGACACTCGAGCTTGTTCTAGAACGTGCTCAGTAAAGAGTAAACTCAAAGGAAGGTCCTATCTTGATATGATAAAATAATCTAGTCTTCAACAGAGTGGACTGACTATAAGAGGACATAAATCTACAAGGGCATTTAAATCTTTTTACTTCAGTGAAACAAACAATAGGACACAATCAAAATAAGGAAAAGTGCATTAAAAACTAAAAGGGGGAAGAAATTATTTTCACAAACTATTGTAGGAATACCAGCCACCCTGGTATGACATTACCTACTAAGAATCAAATGAGCTAAAGGGGAAAATTGGTGTTCGCTTTTGCAAGCTTTGCTTTTATGCAAGAAAAGCAAATAATCATTACTTTTTAATATGCTTTATATTTCATTATCCAACTGACTCCCTACAAACTTAAAACAGCCTAAAACAGGCAGAAATGCAAAACATAAAAGCTAATCATCCACTGATTTTGCTTTGTTACTTGTTTTTGTGCTTCAGAGATCTTGGAATTGAAACAGTATGGCATCACATTACTCACTCTGTATATTTCTTCCAAAAGTAGCTTGGCACAGGTCTTTCCTAGTTCTTCTGGGAGGACTGGATCTCCCTGTCCCTGTGGATTGGAAGCCATTTCAGCACTGAGAAAGGTTCCATTTGTGGTCTCTGCTACCAAAGAGAGGCCAAAGCCTGGAGATCTGAAAAGAAGCAAAACATCTAGGTTTAACAGAAAAAATGTTTTCTAGGTGAAACAGCTTTATCAATGACCTAAAAATATGATACTGCCACTTGCAGCAGGATTACTGAACAAAATTGAGGTCCACAGATGCACTGAGCTATTAATCAATGCAGAGAAAAGTGTGCAGTCTACTGGCACATACAGAGGTATTTCAAATTGGCAAACATCCTGAAAATACACACCCTTTGGCCAAACCTGTTAATCTAAAAACCTGTAAAAAGTTAAGCAAAGCAATAGCAATTCATGCTACATTTCAAATAGCTGTGTATTAGGGCAGAAAGAACTCCAGAAGATCAATAACCATACAGTGAAAAGCTACCAGAATTGCTCATCATACAAACAAAAGTTATGAAAAACAACATTAAACTCACGCACTTCCCAGAACTGGCCCCCTTCATGTGGTCTGTGTAAATGTAAATGTCCGGTATAAACTTGTTTAAGATGCTTCTGGCTGAATCCACAATTCTGTTTGCAATCTGTGGAGAAACTCTAACTGAGTATCTAATCATTCTGTTAAGGAAAAACTTTAACATTTAATAAAAACTACCGAAATACATCAAACTTTTCTACAATGCGCCTGATAGTAAACAAGGAAAGTGTAATCAAGGGCAAGTCCAATGTTATAATAAATCCTAAAGAACACTTTATGAAAGAAGAAGCCCAGGAAAAAAAAAAAAAAGAATTCAAAAGACCAAGCTTTGTGAAGATGTGAAAAACCAGGACCGAAAAATATCCATCCTGGAATGTATATAGATTTTCTATTACTTTGCACAAAGTAAGATAACACAGAAATGGTATTGGAGAGAAAAAACATTGCATTGTATTTGCTGCGTAGTGATATTGTAATTACAAGTGCGACAGAAAAATTTAAGACTTCCCTACTATCTTTGTTTGATAAAGTGAGATATTACAGAATTTCAGAAAAAAAAAATCTTCCTATTTAGGGTTTGCGAGCTCTATCAGCCCAACCCAATCCGATGATCTCTGCTTCCTTTATATTTATCAACCTATGGAAACAAGTTTCCAAAATATGGCTTTATGCCTCAGCAGCCAACTCTTTTGTAATACTGCTATACTAAGATACAGCTGAAGGACTGTATTGCAAATGGAAGATTAACAGCTCTTCATGCATATTATAATCTTTTGTTGAAGATCATCCATTAGCATTAGCAATTAAAACACATAGTAATAAACAACCATGAATGTGGGCTCCTTGTCTGATGCAATATAAGTAGATGCAGCTGAAACAGGAAAAGGATACGCCATTCCTCGAATTCGCTTGATTTTGCCGGGGTCAGTCAGCTGCACTGGTTTAATACACCTGCGAACGGGGCACGTGAAAAGCACTTCTCCGCCACCCCCTGGAGGCATCCCTCTTTTCACAATCTACACAGGCAAGGAAATGTCCATTAGCAACATGTTAAGCTTTGTAGTGTTTAGGGGAGTTTGGAGCAATGCTATCTGGGAAACATTCTGGTATTACGCAGTTTAGAGGTTTTACTAATTGTACAAAAGGGCAAAACAGCCCTCAGTAGACTGAAAACTTCTACAAGAAGAAAATCTGTAGTTGTTTTCTATTATATTTTGTATAGGGCTTTTGAAGGTACTGATAATGTGATTGTAAATGTACTATGGTAATGTTTAAAAAAAAAACAATGGTCCAGTTCTATCTTCATCTGTTAACCTTAACATGGGGCTGTGACATCAAAGACATACATCACACAGACATTAAAAATAAACATCTGATGAGAGAAATTTAATCATTTCAACACATTTGCTTTTTAAATGCTTCCATATCACTCTGCAACTCACAACAGGCAACCCACTGAAGCTAAGCAGGTGTGGGCCTGGTCAGTACCTGGATGAGAGACCTCCTGGGAAAAAACTAAGGTTGCTGCTGGAAGAGGTGTTAGTGGGGTCAGCATGGGGCGCTCACCATACGGTCCATGTGGGTCCCAATGCCCACGTGTAGTGACAGGGAGACTATACTGTAAACAGACGCTGTCCTTCGGATGAGAAATAAAACTGAGGTCCTGACTCTCTGTGGTCATTAAAAATCCCAGGGTGTTTCTCAAAAAGAGTAGGGGTGTAACCCCGGCGTAGTGGCCAAATTTGGTATTGGCCCTTCCCAATCATGGCATCCAAATAATCTCCATCTATGAATTGGCTTCATTACTCTGCTCTCCTCCCCAATGATAGCTGATGTGTGGTGAGCGTTATGGTGCACTATGGCTGCCGTTGCATCATCCAGGTGGATGCTGCACATTGGTGGTGGTGGAGGGGAGTCCTCATTACCTATAAAGCGCTTTGAGTGGAGTATCCAGAAAAGCGCTATATAAGTGTAAGCAATACACTTAGTATTTATTAAGCAATTAGTATAATTATTATTATTAAATGGAAAATTTGAAAATAACCAAATGCAAAGCAAAGGCAAACATCTGGGAACACCACAGGCTTTATGCATAAGTTGAATTACTCAGCAAAAAAGTAAAAAATGCATAATGTTGTGGAAATGTGAAACGTTATGCAGCCACATTATCAAAGTCCATAACCTGACATCTTTCAGGAAACAACTGGAAAGCCCCTTGGATCAATTAGATACTAACTAACAAAGAGTAGAGAGGTTACCTTTCTTATCTTCACCACTTCAACTTTTCACGAGAACATAGGCTCAATGCTAGGCATCAGGTGTCCCTAAATAATTTCTCTAAATTTTGCACTATTCAACAAGTGTAAACAGGAAACGTGAATTGTTGTTTACCAAAACCAAGTATGCTGTGATACAGGCAATCTTTATTTCAGGATTCAATGTAATTCTGACTATAAAATTATTGGTAAGCACAAACATACAATAACATTTAAAAGGCTTAACTATACAAGTAGGCGAATAAAAATTACCTTCAGCTCAAGGCCTTCCCCATCAAGACCAAACTTCTTCATCAGGGGAACTGCAGTGGCCTTGAGGGTGTCAACCTTCAAGTAAGGAGACAATGATGGATTATTAAATGTCTTTGACAGGCTTTTCAGCGACAGATCTTAAAATCCCTGACAAAATGAGTTAACTAACGTATAATGCATAAAGGTGAACTAGAAGAGGGCTCTCTGGGCACACTGGCATAAGAATCTTCCACATACCTCACATTGAATATTGTGTCATTTTGGATTGCCACACCACAAAAAGGATATTATAGACAGAGTCCAAAGAAGAGCAATCATAATGATTCTGACTGTCTCAGGATTGTCACATACAGATATGTTAAGGCACTAAATTTCTTCAGTCTACAAGAATGGACATTGAGATGAAAGTACATTATGTCAAACCATAATACTTCTTTGGACATTGAAAGAAAATTAAGAGATGTGACTTCAACTAGAAATGTTTTGTTGTTCTCAAGGCTCTTTGGGTGGAATTTTTTTAAAGGAATGCAACAATCCATTTTTATTTTTATGAGTTTAAGGTAAGAGATTGGGCAAATCCTCAGTTAAACATGGCTATCTAACAACCTGCATTTCCATTAACACTGCCAGAATAACCCTGACAGCACACATCTCAGAGGCTAAACCTTCCTTCCTAAATCAGTACTGTCATCTCTGAATTAGTGCTCCAAAATCTAGGCTTAAAGACATGGAAAAGAAACCAGTAAATCTGCATTAACAAAGTTCAAATAATACAATAATCTTTGATAAAAATAAACCAGAATAACTGCAAGTAGTAAAGCAAACAGAAGGCTTACAGATGGGTCCTTCTGGTCATTAGTGACACCTCTCAGCACAGCCCTGATTGGGTTCTTCATGAAAGGAGCCAGTGCAAGCAGAGCCTCCAGGTAGTAGCCAATGGAGCGCTGGGGATTACAGTCATGCTCTACAGTCCCTCCATATAGCAGCCCTGGCTGATAGAACAGAGCAGTACCTGAAGAAGGGGGACACATGCAAATACAGACAAAAGCATGGATTATTACACTTCAAAATAAACATCTCAATTAAATCTAAGGCTAAAACAAGATTCAAGAGTAATACTTCTTGAAATCATAGCATAACTGACTTGATACTAGATTTGAACAGCAATTTGAACGGTGCACCTCAAAGTGCTTTGAGCCACACAGCCCAGGCTGACACGAAAGCTGCAATGCCAGAAGCTTACTTTCGTCATGAGGAGAACTGAGTGCTCCTGAGAGACCTAGATAACTGTAGCAGACACTTTGCAAATTTGCACAGGAATTCTGACCAGCATGTCACACAGAATATTGCAATTGGCTTTTTACCCAGAAGCATAAAGTCTGATCCTTCAAAAAAGTAATTTTGTGATCTCAGCAGCTGAAAAGATTTCTAGAAAAAAGAAAGACAGCATGGATAGTCCTAAACACTAGTAACTATTTCTGGCCACTACAATTCTCAGATTGTTTTCTGTATTAACTGCTAGTTAAAATAGAATAGTATTTTCTCCTTTGTCAGTAGTGGAATACGAAGGCCTGTTTCTTTTGAGTTCTAATTATTTTCCAGTCTGAGGCAATCTTTCCATTGAGGGCTGCCATGGATCATGTAACTATAGCTCTGTCTGAATCTGTCTGCCTGCTGGCTAAAGCCATAGCTGATGCTATGACACACCCATTCTGGAAAAACAGCACATCACTCACTGCAGAAACTCCTATTCCCAATACACCCTTCCTGTCTGATCATAAAGTTATAAGATATTTTTGACTTATGAATTTCCATGTCGTGATACAGCAAACCACAGCATTGCTGACTCTTTTCCCGTTAATGCATTTCAGTTAATCCTTAATTTTCAGAAACAATTTACTATCTGTCATTAATCATGACATTTAAAAATGTAATCATTAAATCACACTATATTTTAAAGTTAGTTCAAATATATCTCATATGCAGATTACTCAAGATTTATAGTCAAAAGTTATTACAGCACAGAAGTGATAAAATACTACAGAAAAACATTTTCAAATGTTCTGATTTAAAGAAATAACCTGTTTGATTGATTTCTATCCTAGTGCCATTGGTGATCTTGTCCATCAGCCTAATGAAGCTGGCTTCAAAATCTAGAAAACAAAAACTATTATAAGTAGAAATACATAACATCAAAAAGCAACGTTTGTCGCAGGCACATAATAGTTTTATAATACTGATATTAGAAATAACCCGAGGGCACATGACTTGTCCTTCAATACTTGATACGACATATGACACAAGATCTTTGATCTAGCATATCTTTTTTCATGTCTTCATAAAGTCCAATACAAGATAAAATACCAATAACGTGAGTGTACATTATTTTTTAAAATATATGATCTTGAGACATTTCTGTCACAGTCATTTCTGAACAGCCTAAGAGAAAACGTCACACATCTGCCAACAAAAATGATCTTCAAATTCTTTGGAATAAGACGTAAAATAAGTTGTACACTGACACCACATATTTCAGACTGTATTTCAAAAAGGCAAACAAAGTTCGGTTAGCCATTTTAGCTTTTGTTAAAGATAATTGAAACTAAAATACTAGAGGAATAGAAAAACGGACGGACATAACAAGCATAATAATACATAATTGTCATTAAAACAAAGCATGTTTTTTTAAATTTCCCACAAGTAGCACATGGACTGTTCCAGAATTCTTTGCCCAAAAAGCCACACAACCACGTTTTGAGAAACCGAACCGATTTAATTTAGTTTTCTCCACCTTGACTGATACAAATGTAAATTGCTCGACGTATAACTTCTAAAGAGAAACAAATTTATATTTTGGAACTCTTACAACATTCTACATTTAAATTCAAAATGTAAATCAAATGTATATTTAAAGTGGATTATCTTAACCCGTATACCATTCGCGCAAAGGGGAGCAGAATTAAACATGCGCCACTCATCATACACTCATACACGCAGTAATAATTACGCTGCGAAACATTTAAAAAAATTAAAGCACAATGGCAAAATCAATATTAGTTTTGTCTCTGTTGCAGCGAATGTACACATTCACACATTAACGATAAAATACAAAAAAACGAAATTATTAGATACTGCGTACTACTTTTTAGCAAGACATTCAACAATTATTTTTCAAGATAACTTTTTGCTTTGTTTAAGAAACACACCTCGGAGTCCGGGGTTATCATCTTTATACCGAATGTTTCGTATTTTGACCCGTTTTCCACTGAGCGTTGATAAAACTAGCCTCTGTCTTAAGAAATTACATCCCTCATAAGTGAGACACTGACTCGCCATGTTGTTATTGCTACACATCCATCTGTGTCCACGTGTTTGGGAAGGGAAATCGATCGCAATATATGAGGTCAAAGGTCACATAACTACAGAGAATCGGCTGGGACAAACAATGCGAATACGACCACCCGTTTAAATCGTTTATGAGCTCAAACACGTATGTCGAGTTTGAGTAGTATTTGAGAATAAGATAGTAAGACACGATTGGATTTTATTTCATGTTCTGTGACTCATTATAGTAAAAGATAATGAGGTAATTGTAAATGGCATTTGATGACTATTCTATACATTTTAGTTTAAAAATAATAATTTAAGAATTGTTTTACCAAAAATGTAATTCTTAAGACCTCTACAGTGTGGTTTCAAAATGTCGATTTTACCTGTTTTTCTCACTTTGTGTATCTATGTCAACGTATATATAATAGGAAACATGATAATCATAAGATTATTATTCTGATTTGAAAACCCCAAATTTAATGCACTGTATATAAAGACACTTTCACAATAATCTATAAGGATCTCTTTCAGAGGACCAATCTTAATTTATCTTGTGGGGTTTACTTGTGTCTTTCTACAAAGATTTCTAAGAATTCCAGTGGGTTTTTGTCTTAATGAAAAAAAGTTACATACAGAGTTTTCCACTGTGCAAAGCAATATGTCAGCATTCAAGGAAGTTGTTTTACTCACAAATAAGAAATAATAAGAAAATCTGAAGGAATTATATGTTTTCATTTTAGAAAGAAGGCAAGCACTTTTTGAATTACACTACAAATGTACATTTCTAGTAAGTGTAAAAGTCTTGTTTCTTAATGCATTGGCATAATTTTTATTTGGGAAATAGGGCAACATTTGTGAAGGCATGCTTGACACCACTTTCCTGATCTGTGCCTTTCTATTACTTTGTGGTCGGTTTGTTTCAATAACTCCTTTATCTTCATGGTTAATCACTATATTATATTGTATGCAAAGGAACAAGTAATAGGTTTATTCCATGCTGAAAAAAAGAAGAAAGAGAACACAACGTTTCGGCCGTGGAGCCTTCTTCAGGGCTCCACGGCCGAAACGTTGTGTTCTCTTTCTTCTTTTTTTCAGCATGGAATAAACCTATTACTTGTTCCTTTGCAGCCTATGCATGCTGACGCAGCTACCCACCTGAACTATTATATTGTATTACTATCTCAGTTGTGGCTAGCAAATCAATATCTATCTAACGGAACATGTAGATACTCTCAAGTCCTGTTAAACTAATTCTATTACAGACAGACGGGTCCATTACACTAATGTGTAACTTTCAAGCTCAGGAACCAAACCAAGATGCTCACAAAATTGAGAAAACTTTCATATTTATTCAAATATAATGCTCAAAACTACCCCTAAATGTATTAACATCATTAGAACCACTGTAGAAATGAAATGTCTAATTAAAATATTTCAAAATTGAATTAACAATATTGTGTTTGGTAGCTTTGAAGTGAAGTGATACATTTCCACATTAATCTTAGGGTTCTACTTATGTTGCATTTACATTTTTACTAGGATTAAAAATTTGTATGAGCAAAGTTTTTGAATCCAGGCTGAAGTTTGAGATAGAGATTGCAGTAGGATTAAACACAGACAGAAGTTAACAAAAATATCAAGTATAACTTTCAAGATACAACTAAAACTCACATCCTACAGTTTGTAAATAAGCCATCTGAATGCAGACTTAACCCTTAACCGTTTAATGCCAATTTTTATGGGTTTTCCAAATCTAAGCCTAAATAGGGACTGTTCCTAACCCTAGTTTTTGAAATATGTTTAGAATAGTTTCAGTAAGAAACCAAGATATGCATAAAGACAAACCAAAGTCTTAAAGTCGTCACAATATAGCTTTCATAGCACTCTTACTTTTATATATATTCCACAAAACAAATGAATTTTCAAGTGTGTTATACCTGAAGAAGTCTCCACAGCTGAAATGTTGTCTCTCTTTTCTTTTCAGCATGGAATAAACCTTTACCTGCTCCTGAATAACTTGCTACAGGTATGTTGTTTTATTAGTTGAAGCCAACAGTGCAGTCTTTTTCTGTTTGCTTGAAAGAGGCCCAACACGTATGTGAATGTGTTGCTTCTTAATATTCTTGATATGCTTTATTCCATAAATTATGATGAAAAATTCTGCTTGCTCCATTACATTAGTCATTCTCATCTGCTTAAAAACAGATGTGCATTAATCACATTATGTACTGCTTGAAAAGTGTTTTATTGAAAAACATTTTTTATGAAACCTGAAGTTGTGAATTGCAGATAAATAACAAGCATACTGTAAAACAGCGCACGTTTAAACTCTTTGTGCTAGCATGATTTGAGAAATAATTTTATGGGTTGAATTAACAGATGAAGCATGATAAAAAATATTACATTTTTTCTCAATTACTTGAACACAGGTCTTGAAACATTGTTCACATTTTCAAAAAAGTTAACACAATTTTCAAAACTATCATGTTGCAAAATAATTGTTAATAATTTATGATTGTTTTCACTCAAAATCCCACTCAAAATCAACACATTTTTGCAGAGCAGTGAATACAAATCTCTGCTCTAGACACAAAAATCAATTATGGGAGTCTCTTCAAGCTAAAGACAATTTTTCACAGGAGAAGAAAATGGTCCCAAAAGTGTTGATTTACATCTTGTGTGTGCAAAAAGTATTGTTCAATCAATAATACATCATATTATATATGCAGAAGGTTTTCTTTAGTAGCTAGGGGACAGGGAAAGCACAAATACTGCACAGAAAATTGAGATTCATGCTACAACAGTATACCATGTAATTAACCACAACCTGGCAATGAGCTGTACAGGAAGTGCAGTCAACCCTAAATAGGTTTCCATATGTCCCATTAGCTCAAGATCATGCAGCTTTATCAAGAAAAAAGTTAGTGATGGTTAACCGAAAGTGAGATACAAATTAGATACAATTATAATTAATGTAATTGTATATAATTATAATATAAAATCTGATTATATTGAATTTACATTCAATAACCTTTTTTACCAACAGGCGAGTGTCACAAGCACGGACTGAAATCCATGTCAGATCTTGTAAAAGACCCTATGCGATGCGGTAAGAGGTGGAGAAAACAGGAGGCGTGGTAAAAGGGAACATACAGGGGTTTAATAGTGCACAAAATAATAGTGACAGTCCGTGAGACAGTGTACGGGGAAGACAAAATAACATCCAAATCCAAACGGGTCCAAGGGCAGGTCAAAGCACAGTCCGAGAGTCCATCAACAAGGAATCCATCCTGGGACGCGACAAAGTTAAAATCCCCGGTAGGGGGAGCACACGGACAAACAAAACACGGAGGTCCAAGGGTGACGGGGCGAGATCCTCCAGACCCGGGCTCAGGAAGCAGGAGATGTCGGGGATGAGACCTATGCCCTCAGGAGACGGACGTAGGGTTTCCTGGTGCTAGGCGGGCCTCGCGACATCTTACCCTAATGATGAGCCCCAAGGACTGGAGAAGCTGGTCTTTAAGTAATAACGCTAAAAGGGTACACCTGGGGAGCTTAAGCACAAGGACAATAATGGGAGCAGTGGAGCGCCTTCTAGGGAGGGATGTCGAGCGTGGCAGTGAGTGGAGTTGCCATGGGCACCAGAATGGGACCCGGCTATGCCAATATTTTTGAAGAACGCTTCTTCGCTTCCTACACTGGCTATGTCCCTGGTGCCGCCACATGCTCCAACGACCAGATTGAGTGCTTATACAGTTAAAATATCTTCCACTACTCTTCCACTACTCTCCCTACATTTCTAGACATGAAATTCTCCATCAACTACCCCCGAATCTCCACTTCGGTTTATTACAAACCAATGGATTCACACAGCTATCTCCTGTATAGCTCATTTCACCCCAAACACACTAAAAACTCTCTCCATTTTCACAGTTCCTTCCGCTATGACGATTATGCAGCAACAACACCAACTTCCAGAACCAAGTCCTCAAAATGTACTCCTTTTTCATCAACAGAGGATATCCCAGCAGTGTTATTAACAGGGCCCTTGCCCGAGCCAAAAACACCCCTCGGACCATCAACCCAATCAGGAACTCCCACCTTAACAACCGCATACCTTTGGTGCTTCCCTACCACCCCAACACACTTCCTATCCCCAGGACTATTAACGACAACCTTTCCATCCTACAGGATGATCCCTCCATTGGGGCCCTCTTTTTTGACCGCCACCTTCTTGTTCACAGCCCCCTTGACCGCCCTCAGCAACCATCCCCACCAGGCACTTTCCCTTGCAACAGAGCTCGCTGTATCACCTGCAAGTACACGTCTAACATCACACTCATTCAAGGCCCCTCAGGACAATTCCGGATCACCCAGATGGCATCTTGTACCTCCAGCAACCTCATTTACTGTATCTCTTGCAGTAAATGCCCAGCCATCTACATTGGAGAAACAGGATGGAGACTTGGAGACTGCTTCAGAGAGCGTTAGGGCTGTGAAGATTAAAGATCTCTCCAAGCCCATTGTTTCTCATTTCACCTCAGATGGCCATGACCACCCTAATCTCTCCATCTGTGTTCTCAAAGATGGTTTTCCGAACTCATACATCAGAAAGACTACAGAAACCAAAGTTATCCTGCAGCTAGGATCATACCTTCCCCCTTCTCTTAAAGACAGACTACTTTTCTTCTACATTTTCCCCATTCATTGGAGCTTTCATTTCACACCTCTCTACACCTGTCCTGACTTCACACCTCTTGATTGGCCTCTCTTGTCCCCTGTCCCCTGCTCCCACCTCTCACTCCTCCTCTCTCCAAGCCTTTGTTCTCCCACTACATTACCTTTGCTTACTGATTTGTCTTTCTCACACCTGAAGTAGGCTCCATGGCCGAAACTTTGTGTTTTCTTTCTTCTTTTTTTTCAGCATGGAATAAACCTATTACATGTTCCTTTGCAGCCTACGCATGCTGACGCAGCTACCCACCTGATTATATTTTGGACTACCTTGTGTTATTTTAAATAAGCAGATCTTAGGCTATGACTACTCAAG